AATCATAAATACGAATATGACAACACCATCCAATGGAACAATAAATACGAATATGACAACACCATCAACTGGAATATTAACGAATTGTTCATTAAATGAAGTATTGTATAAAAATCATTGCTATTATTTAGATGGCACAGGAGGGCAGTGTTCGAATGGTTATAGTCTTGGATCGGAATCAATTTTATCTCGTATAGCTGATTTATTTATTGGCTTAAATTATAAAACAAGAATTTCAAGAAATTGTTGTGTTGTAACATCGGAAAGTAACTCAAATTATGGAATTTCTACTTTAAATCAATGTAATAAACAAGGACCATTTACAAGTGTACCCGTTCTCAATGGTGGTGGATGTAGAAATGTTACAGCTATATCTGAAGCTCAATTGACATTTTGTGTCAGCAATTGATTTTTTTTTGACATCTATACTATTGTATTTTTTTCTAATAAGAAAGAAAAGATACTTTAATAAAAAATAGAGGATGTGAGTATTATACTCATTCCTTATTCGCTCTCAACATGAAAAAAAATAAAAGTTACTATATTCTTTCTGTCATCGATACTAACGATAACTGTAACTAAGTAAACAACAAATAACCATTTTACATTTATTAACAGAATGTTTTGTTAACATCTGAACACCATAGTACTATTAATATTTCAAATAAATTTATTTTTCTAGTTTCTTCATTTTGATATTCGCAGTGCTCTGCATCGAGTAATTGATTGTTCTTCCTAAACTATACTGCAATACTCAACTTGATATGGATATGCATATAAAAAATTTCACAAAACTATGAAATAGTAATTTTTTATGATTTTATGAGAAGATATTTCAATAGAAAAACAGAATTATTTTATATAGTTTGTATTTATGGTTCTTGAATAAACATGAAGTAAAATAATGAGTTTTTCTTGTAATGACAATTGAATAAGTGACTTGTGTAAGTACTTTTTGTTTTAAAACATCAAAATAGAGAAAACAACTTTTGAAGTTAGTAATTTATTTTGATAGAAACATGACAACAATGGTAAGGAAAAAAGTAGAAGAATGTAATTTTGAAAATAACTGTGATATTCTGCATTGATACTTCGAGATGTTAGATAGAACTAATGTTACTATCCCATGACAACAATGAAATTTGAATACAGCCGTACACTTATTTAGATAGTATCGATTGTTGTGATTTTTAAAAGATAGATGTCTAATTATAGTTATATTTCACAATGAATGATAATTTTAATGGAAATGTTGTATAGTTACAGCACGGAGGTGGAAAAGAATGACTTTTATTATGATAATTGTAAATAGAGGTGGAAGCCGTCGGCGTCAGCAAAAATCGGCTGACGACTAACATCTCTAATTGTAATTTACATAAGAATGTCTCTTAGCTATGGTAGAAAGAAAAAAAGAAAAACATTTTGATTCAAATATAAATTAGACGATATAGAAGAAAACACTTTCATAACTGCATCAGAAGATTGAAAATAAATTTTTTCTTAGTAAAAAAGGTATGCTTCATATAAACTTTCTGTCTTATAACTACTGAAAGAAATTAGTAAAACATTTTTATTTTAGTCGCAAGTTGCAACATAGGAAACAAAGAAAGATCAGTGACACATTATAGTTTACTTCAGATTTTTCTAAAATAAACTGTTCCATGTTCGTTCTAAGATCTGTGTTCTATATACGATTATAGAAAAATCTCATCTGAAATATAATTTATGAATAATATTTTTTTTCTCTCCATATAAGTAAATCCTCGCTTGAGTTAACTTTTGTATATATAGGATAACATAAACCATTTCTGTTCGATTTTCCGTTTTCAATATGTTTAAAATATTTAGATTATTCAGCTTATTTTTTCAAACTAACAATCACCAATTCATAGTACATATATTGAGTAAATACATCAACATATAACAACGATCAACAACACATTTCCTATCCTCATCCATCGTAACAGTTATTGGCTCCTTGAATAAGTAGTACGTATAAACTTATATGATGCATTTCGCTAGAAATTGTACCTTCGAGTTCTGTCGATCATGAACTGTTTCTTGATTAATAGATTCATCATTTCTATATTTCTTTTTTAGTGGCCTACATTCCTGGCCAAAACTCTGGATTTTGGAATAATTTAAAGGAATGCATTCAATGTTTTAATTTGTTCCCATCTATACCACCTTCTACCGACAAATGCGTTCTTCGTATACAGCGAGTAGCAACAATATTATTTGTTCTTTTACTAATCGCATTATTAATAATTCCTTGCTTTTATGTACCATTTCTGACGGATACAGAAACTAATCAAACTATGCGTGTTCAACAACCTAGTCTCATCCAATATGAGCAATTGTATTCCAAGTATGCACAGACTCTAGAATGCCCATGTACACAAATTTCGATCAATTATGGAAACTTTATTGAAATGCGATACTCATTGCATCAAATATGCAGTAGTACTTTTATTAATGATACATGGATTTTTCATCTTGCCACGACTAATGGAACAATATTGTATGAAGATGACTTTCGAGTAATAGGTCCACATGCATTTCAAGCTTTACGCATGTTTTGTGAACTAGCTAGAAATACGATTGTGAACAATATTGCTCAGCTCTATTTTAGTCAATATATCAGTAAATCTGTCAATACTCCAGCAACGTTTGAAGCACAAACTATATCAAGACTAGTGCAATTTCAATCATCAATGGCCGATAGCTTTTTATTATCTCTCAAAATGATTCGAGAAACCACTCAAGTTAATGCATTATTTTCTGGACTGCAAACAAACTATCAACTGTATAGTAGCACAGGTAGTGGCAACGTATTCGTGACGGCAAAGACTTACGATGGTTGCAGTTGTAGTCTTTCAGTTACTTGTACTCATCAATCTTCAATTTACGCATATAACACTACGAAAATATTATTCAATGTAACCGGTTTTTATACAGGATGCAATGTGATTGAATCACTACTTCAATCAAATCTTGAATGCTTTTATAATCAAACCTGTATAAATGGATTACAAAGTTATTTACTATCATCGCCGATATATGTAGCAGCTCTTGACTCGTCATTATATAGTCGGTATCTCGAAACGACAAGTATTAACAATCTTCTTTCTAGTTTGATGATAGAACAATGGAGTTGGAACGTATCGTATGACAGATATTATGCAGCGTGTAGTCCGGAATATTGTTCTTATCAGACTATTGCTAACAATAGGAAACATAAGACACTTTACATTGTCTTTCTAGTGTTCTTTATTCTTGGTGGTCCATTATCCGTTTTAAAACTACTCATATCGATGTTGACAAAAATCATCATATGTTGCGTTCGAAAATCGCCAGCACAGGTCGTTCCTGAAGCGTAGATCATTTATACATAATTACTACTTTATAGACAACAATTGTGCTTCGCATGCTTTAAAAAAAAATTCTTAGTTGCATAAACAGAGACATATAATTGACAGATGAAAGAGACAAAATATTATTATATTTTTCTGTCAATCAAAAGACTTTGCAACAAAAAAAATAAAAAAAAAGCTTCGCTTAAAAATAGAACTATGTACTGTTTTTCAATAACTTGAAGATGAAGGTAGGTGTTGATATTACTTCATTTAAAATGTCAACAATTATATATCTAATTTAATTTATTTACCATAATACTTACTATCTTTAGATTTTAACAAAGACGTTTATAATTTTTAGGCTTCAGCAAAAAATAGCGAATGATTAAGACTGAAATCTTGATTACAGATGCTTTTCTTAGAGTCATATAGTCAGATATAAAAATTCAGTCTTGTATTTATTGTCATTTTCGAGAAATTTGTGTTATATAATTAATGCTGAAGAACATTCTTCATTTAATATTTCTAATAATTCCCTCGACTGTAGTGAGAGTTGTATAAAATAAAATAGTTTGTCTGTCTGTATGTTTGTGGCAGGTCAAAGGTCAAAAAAACAAAAAAAACATCTGCTTCCAAAATATACCAGCGCAGGTCTAATACAGCGAGTCCGGGTGAAAGTGGGTATTTTGGGTGAAATAGGTGAAAAGTGGGTATTTTGGGTGGAAGTGGGTCAAATGGGTCAAACGTTGGTGGAATTAGTGAAATATGTCAGAGGTGGGCGGAAGTGGATGAAATTGGCCAAAAGTGTTTGGGATGGGTGAAATAGGGCAGAAGTGGGTAGAATGGTTGAAATAGGTCAGAGGTGGGTGGAACGGTGAAATAGGTCAGAAGTAGGTGATATGGGCCAGAAGCGGGTGAAATGGATGGAAGAGGTCAGAACTGGGTGAAATAAGTTAGAAGTGGGTGAACTGGGTGGAAACGGGGGAAATAGGGGAATGCGAATTTGGCAGTACAGACTTTCGCAAGTGACTTTTGGCAATTGCCAAAAGTTCTGTTACCATGTAACATGCAACAGCCTTCCTCATGGAAGCTGAGCTTTGGGCAATTGCCGAAAGTGTATTGCCGAAAGTTAGTACTGCCAAATTCGCGCTGTCTGGGAAATAAGGTAGAGGTAATTGAAATAGGGTGAGAATGGGTGAAATAGGTTATAAGTTGGTGAAACAGGGGAGGAATGGGAGAATTAGGGTAGAATACGGTGGAACGGTGTATTTTTTGGTGGGTGAATCTGGGTGTGTAGGTGTCGATTTGCTTGTTGTTTTTATTCATTATTGATATCCATAATCAGACCCAAAGCTACCCACACCCGATCAGATATCGAAGGTCATAGTCCTAACCGAGCTGGAGTCGATAGTTGTCAGGTTGATGGTTCGGAATTTAAGATATATAAAGTTTATCAATTGGGGCTCGAAGGTGTGTGGGTGTTACGGTGGGTATAAATGGTGAGGGTGTGAGAGTGTGAGTTGGAGACTCTAGCCATCGCAGCGGTTGTTCATGCAGAATGAGTGTGGGTGTTGGTGAGTGGGTATCGGAGTCGTAGCGGGTGTAGATGGTGAAGAGTGTTGGTGTCTGTGGGTGAGTTCATGTAAGTGCAGCAGCGAGTGAGGTTGTTGAATGAGTGCGGCTGTGCGTGGCTGGGTGTCAGCGTGTGTTTCGTTCTGAATTATTAGCAATATCTATAGTTACATCGAAATTCTCAGTTACAACCAGTCCTATACTCTTACAGTCGAGGGTGAAGTGAGTCGAGACGGCGAACGTTACTTGTAAATCACAATGAGTTTTATTTTACTTCTGTACGATTTACAGTAGAAAAAATACTTGTTTCACATGCTTTAGTTTAAGACAAGGACCTTATGTGAGTGTGAAATATACCTTAACGAAATATAATGAAAAATAAATGAAAAAATTCTTTCGTCGTTTTCGATACCAAACTATAATAGATGTATATCATCATAGTGACTCTGTTAGAAGATATACAAAAGATGAACCAACACCAAATCAAAAATCCACTGGATCATATTGTGAATTTTAATTCAAAATACACTATAACACGGAGTTAAATAAAACTATTTAAAAGATAAGACATTTCGTTTATATTAATAAAGAAATACATATAAAGTAATAATATGACTTTATATTTACTAATAAAATGGTTATACGTACCTGTGTATAGACAGACACTTTGTGCTGTTTAATGGCAATAAAACTTTTATTCAGATCTGAGTATATCTTTGTCGATTTTTCCTTTTCTTTCATATCGACTTCCCGTATTTTCATCCTTTTTTTCCTGTTCTTGTATATTTCTTTTGTAATATTTCCTTCTACTCTCACTCAGTTTTTCTTTCTGTTTTTTTTTCTTGTTCTTGTGGTCTATTTCATACCGCTCCCTTCTACTCGTAACATTTTTTTCATCCATTCTGGTTTTTTCTTTTTGTGTGGTCTCTTTTATATCAACTCCTTCTACCCTACATCGTTTTTTTTCCTTTATATTAAATTCTTCTAAATATTTTTAAATACTCGATTAGTTTACGCGAGAACTTTACTGGTGATACCTATATTAGGAAAGATGTAAAAAATCGATTTTAATGGATTTTTACCTCTTAATTTATTGATTGTACATATGAAAAATAAATTTAAACCCATTTTGTCGAATGAGAGTCTGAATTTCAGTTTATTACGATACTGTCATATCCACACTCATAGCTTTTTTAATTGATTTATGAGTTAAGATAATATTTCAAATTAATTTTATTTGAATTTCTAAAACATTTCAAATAAGATTCATCAAAATTAAATAAAATTCTTATTCAATTTTCGAAGATGTTTATAATTTAAAAAAATACTAATAAAATTAATCAAAATACTAATTTTATGTTACTCTTAACCGAAAAAATTAGATTTTTTATTTTCTATAAAATAAAAGAAGAAAGTCTTTTAATGATTTTTAATAAATTATTTAATAGAATTATTCTTAACAACAAAATTCTGTTGATAAAAATTTGTCAATTAATCGAATAATTTGAACAAAAGAAATTTCATGAGATTGTATTATTGGGTAAAGTTCTTAACAAAAACGAAATTTTATTTGATTAAATAAAAAAACAAAGAACAATGTTGTAGTCAGAAAATATTTTTTCAATTGACTCTATTATTTTTCTATTATACTCATAAGGTTTCTGTATGAACGGTGTGAGTGTAGATAGAAATTAATGATAACACCTACACCCTCAATTATGTTTGTTCATGATATTCGGATTTTTCATCCGAAATTAATGACATTTCATGTTCGTTTTGACCTTTTTCTTCTGGTAATACCGCGCCATCCTCGGTTGCTTCTTGCTTTATATACCATTTGTAAGTGGGCAGCTTTTGCAAGTGTTTTACCATTCGAAAAGATAGTACAAACCATACAATGCCCAAAAATGTGCTGGCACCTACTGCCATAACATAAGCATACTTTTTCGGCAACAAATTGGCTACGTAAAGGACGGTGGATGAGTTTACAGCGAATCCCAAGTTAGATAAAGTAACGAGAAACGTCATATAAGTACCACCAATACGTGGTTCACTGATAGATGCAAAAAATCCGATATGAGCGGCAGCTCGCATGGTCATTACAAAATCATTGATTGCAAGAAGTAAAATAAGCACCGGATAGTAGTATCCGGAGGAGATGATGCGAGGTGTAAAGTAGACATAAATAGCAATTGGAATTCCACTAATAATACATAGCAAATAAGATCTGGCAAACCAGATGAGAGGTCGTTCTGTATGACGAATGAGCAGAGGTGCTATAATTGTGATAAGAGTGACTGGTATATTAACAAGGGCCAACGTCTCCCGTGACACGCCCTGACTAAAAAGGAAACGAAGCAGTAAATATTTATAACCTAAATTTCACCACTGACCTTATGAGTGACAGCTGAGTCATATGACTGATAGCCACCGTACCAATCGGTGAAAGGAGCGAAATGATAATTAACTGACGAATACACTTCTTTCTTAAAAGTTTGACAATTGAGCCATAGCTTTGAATAAGAGTGAGATTATTTGTTTCTTCATCTTTATCGGTCAACACTTGTTTTTTCTCGCGAAAAAAAACGATAAGACATGTAGTGACAACTAGAAAAGCCACAGCTACCATCCGTACAAATTGTTCGAGAGAGAATAATCCTGATTCTTGAAGGGGCAATGAAAGAGGCTCACGAATGAATCTATTTGTAAAGTTGGCCGATTCAAATGTTAACAGAAACGAAGAACCAAGAAAACGACCAAACGTTTGTCCTACGGTTTGCGAAGTTGATGCCCATTGTGGATTCGTTGCAGCAAATAGAGAAATAGCCAGACCATCAACACATATATCTTGAGTTGCAGTGAGAAAAACAATGGCAAAGAAAACAACAGTAAGTAATACAACCTGATTTGTTACTACTAAAGAAGTGATGTAGAATGATAGTAACAATAAAATCGTAGTGATGCATAATTGTATCGGTACTAGCCAAGATTTACGTCTGCCAAAGCGATCACTGTATATAGCATCGATCAACGGTGCCCAAATAAGTTTTAACGAGAATGGATAAAAAGCAAAGTTGAATGTCCCCCGATCTTTCCACGTAGCACCGTAGTAAATTAAAAAGAATGGTATGCTGCCTGTAAATCCAAGATTTACACCCTGCAAAAGATAGAGACCGAATATAAGAAAGATGCTAGATGCAGACGTATGAAGCTTGATACTCATGCTTGCACGACCTGGTAAATCTTCGATGTAACGTACGACAAATATAGGCAGAACGAAAGAAAGACTCTTTTTTCGGTTGTCTTATCTTATTCTTTTCATTCTTCTAATCTGTGTACATTGTTCGGTCGTGGCCACACGTTGCGTAGATGACTACGATGTGTATCTTCTTGAGAGTGTGGATGTCGATTGAAAATAAAGATAATTAAACCCACACTCATACCCTAGCGACTTGTTGGATATTTACTTCTGTTTTCTTGCATCACCTTATATTCATTGGCTATGACTCATCGTTACTACCGTTTACTTGGCATCATTTCGATGATTCATAGAATAGATAAGGCACAAAACACTTTTGTTTTTTTTTCTACTCAGTTTCAGAATAAATGTCGATTGTTAATGAGAAGAATGATAAAGAATCAACGATTATAGAACGTTTCGATGATAATTGGAAATGTCTACTCGTTCCGAAAGATTCTTTCGGTAAAAATATTTGCACTATTGATTATGATGATCAACATTGGAGAACTATTGAATTACCTGATAATAATCGAAGTAAGAATGATTCAACTATGTTCTATTATCGAAAACGATTTGAATGGATCTATCCATTCGATCTTCAACGACATATGTATTTACATTTCACTGCATCGGAAAGCAATGATCAGTTAGAGAACACAATTGAAATTCCTGGTATTATTATTTGGTGTAATGAAAGATGTATTTTCGAAGGAATTTTAGCAAATCAATCGATTGATATTACCAATGATGTACAAATTAATGCGGAGAATATTTTTGTTATTTGTTCATGTGAAGGATATTCTCTTTCACTTTATGCTCGTCTCATTATTCCATGTCTTCGTACAATTCATATCGATGCGAATGAATTGGTGTTAACAACAACAACAACAACAAGAACGTCATTAGATTATACTGCTAGTTTCAATGAAATAACTCGACTGATTGATATAAAGATTGATTCTTATGATGCAATAGATTATGATGAATTCGAATTCGAGAATATATCCAACGATGATATTGATAAAGCAAAAAAAGCTCTAGAAATTGGTCCTGTTCCACGTTTAGCCATTGTTATGTTAATTATCGGCACGCGCGGCGATATTCAACCTTTTATCGCATTAGGAAAAGCTCTTCTTCGATATGGACATCGAGTACGTTTAGCTACACATGAAACATTTCGAAGTTTTGTTCGTGAACAAGGTTTAGAATTCTATCCATTAGGAGGAAATCCTGCTGATTTAATGTCATTTATGGTAAAGAATGCTGGCATTGTTCCCTCAGTCAGTAGTATCATAGCAGGTGATATCACTAAAAATCGTCAGATTATTAGTGAAATTCTTCAATCAACATGGAAAGCATGTATTGATGTTGATGATGAAACTGGAATTCCCTTTGTTGCCGAAGCTATTATTGCTAATCCACCATCATATGGTCATATTCATTGTGCACAAAAATTACAAATTCCTCTACATATAATGTTTACCATGCCATGGTCACCGACTGGTGCATTTTCGCATCCATTATGTCAAATCAATAATAATTACGGACCGCAAGAATTGATCAACCGTATATCGTATACAGTTATGGAAACTTTAGTATGGTCAGGAATGGGAGATTTAATTAATGAATTTCGTGAACAAACTCTTCATCTTCCAGGTCTTCATAATCGGCAAGCCATTCGTATGATGATCGATGAACATGTTCCACATACTTATTGTTGGTCACCATCACTTGTACCAAAACCAACAGATTGGCCAGATTATATCAATGTTTGTGGTTTCTTTTTTCTTGATCTTGCAACAAATTACCAGCCACCAGAAGATCTTCTTCATTTTCTAAATGCAGGTGATCCACCCATCTATATTGGTTTTGGTTCCATTACAGGCCATGATTCCAGTCGTTTATTAAAGATTGTATTAGAAGCTTTGAAGGTAACTGGATATCGAGCTCTTCTTTCAGGTTTAGCAAATGAGAATGATTCTTTCCCAGAGAATATCTTCAAAATTGGTAATTGTCCACATGATTGGCTTTTTCAACATGGTAATCATTGTTCTATCAGTTAAATTCAGCGATCTGATTTTTTTCTTTCTCGATTCTAGTATCCGCTGTTTGTCATCATGGAGGTGCTGGTACAACAGCAGCTGGTCTTCGTGCTGGTAAACCTACTATTATTGTTCCGTTTTTTGGTGATCAATTCTTTTGGGGATCAATGATATATCAAAGTGGTGCTGGTCCAATAGCTATTCCTGGTAAAGATCTAGCTAGTCATCATTTGATTGAAGCTTTTAGATTTGTTCATCAACATAATGCTCGTGAAGCAGCTGAACGATTACGTTTAGCATTTGCTGATGAGAATGGATGTGAAAGAGCTGTTCAATCGTTTCATTCTCATTTACCATTACATAAAATGCAAAGTGATCTTGATTCATCGTTTGGTGCATGTTTTTATCTAAAAGATTATAATTTACAAATCTCTCGACCTGTTGTTCAAGTACTTTTAGCAGCTGAAAAAATTAAAGAAAGCCAAGTAACCTTACATTCAACTTATTCTTGGTATCGATTAAAAAATGATGATCGTCTTTCATTACCTTTTCATAATTTCATGCGACATGAACAGAAAGCACTTCGTTCTATTTTTGTCAATGCACCTGAAGCACTGAAACGAGTCAGTAGTGAAAACAATTTTACCAAAGGAGTCCGTGATAGTAGTCATTGTATTATCAAAGGAATTGGTCACGCATCAATTGGTTGTTTGGCATTTTATGGTGATGTAACCGATACATTGGAACGTTTACCTAATGCCTATAATCGTTATTCCTATGCTGAGCAACATGAACAGACACAAGTAAATAATTTTCAATCGGGAATGAAAGCAGCTGGAGATTCACTATGGTATGGATTTAAAGATGGAATCACAGGATTAGTAAGAAATCCTCTAGTTGGTTATAATCACGATGGAATTCGTGGTGTAGCAACTGGTACAGCATTGGCTATTCCAAATTTAGTTTTGAAACCTCTTGCTGGTACTTTAGCATCAATAACATGGCTTAGTCGTGGTGTCTATGCTCAAGCAACACAAGTATCAGAAGAAAAGAAAAACAAACGAAATATTCAATTGAAATTGGATTCTTTCAATGAACTTCGTCGACCAATAATCGATTTAACTGATGAGAGTTCACCTGAAGTTCGTGCTTCATCTGAATCAGGTTTAACAATCGATGTATGTCGAACTATCTTACAAGCATTCGAAAAAATCCTCATTGAAAACAATCGAATGAACAAATCACTCGAACGACAACGTAGTCATTCAACGCCAGACACTTAACATAAACTTTTTTCTTTTGTAAATTATAACTTTTTTCTTTTATTTATATAAATATGAAACAGTATTAAGTTAAAGCATTGAAATGATGTTGTAAAATTTGAATTAAAATATTTCGACGTTTTAAAACTTGTGGTAAAACATGATCAGTAGAATCATGAAGCCAAAAATAAACTCCTTGACGTTTATTACATTGATCTACATTAATAAATTCTATTAAATTTTGATTGGGTATTAATTTTAATTGAATTACATCATTGGGTGAATTATTACTCCAATGAACATGTAAAATAGATTGTTGTTGTTGTTTTTTATTAATAATTGTCTCAATATTTGTTTGTGTTTGTTTTAAAATAATTGTTTTAGGAAATTTTTGAAATATTTTATAATAGAATAAATTAGATATTAATGAAGGATCTAATATTGGATTAAATGCAATTGAAAGCGTAACAAGATCACTACACATACAAACCATACTTGCTCCCATTGATGCTCCTATTAATATGACATGTTTATATAATTTCGAATATTTTTCTATTAAAGATCGATAATATTTCAATCCCTGCCATGAATAAGTAGGATCTTGTAGATAAAATGATTGAGCAGGATCTGTTAGAAATAATTTATCTGATTGAAAATCAAATTTTGTTAATGTTGATTTCCATTCTGTTAATGTAAAACCACCAACAAGTAAAGCACCACCAGCAAAACTTATAAATAATGTATCAGATCTATGTGGACAATCATTTCGTGGTTCAATAATTCGTGCATGATCTGGATGACATTGACATTGTGAATTAGCTGGATTATAAGTTTGACGATATTGTTCAAGTTGAGAAAATTTTATTGAAGTCAATGCTGATATTTTAGATAAAATAACGAATCTTAAATGACTTTTTGAAATATATTGCAAATAAATTATTAATAATGCAAATAATAACACCGGTATCAATATTATTGTTAGTAATAATAAATACATAATATTATTCTAAATAGTTTTTATTACATTCAGAAAACATTAAAAAAAATAGTGACTCACCTTTCATGTCGTTCTGCCAACGTGGCGATGACTAATACACATCAGAAGTTATTCCTGTTTATGCTCATGGAATTTGTTAAGAACGTATTAGTAATGGTTCGAGATAGAGTAACATCTCTCCGGTTCGACCTCGCGAATTTTGCTGGTTTTAACCTCGCCTTAGTGAAAATCTCGAAATTCTGAATGTGAAAAATATAGAGGACGCCGTTTAAACTTTGAATTAACACAATGTATTTCATTGGCTACTTTCATGATTGGTTCAAGAAGAAAAAGAGTGAAGCTGTTTCAAATACTCTAAAAACGAAATTTAGAATACACAAATGATTAGAAACAAATTTCATAAACGAATCTAATCAAGATATTAATATTTCGCTCGGTTCCAGTTCATCAAAGCAAAGATCCATATTTGAGTATTTTGCAAATGCATCTGATTTATGTACTTAAAACTTTCTCTTCTCATATTGTACATGGACTATATAAATTTAATTAATTAAAGTTGTATTACTATCAACTGACATTCTTGATTTCAAGGTGTGATAAAGTTTGTTAGAAATGCATTCTTTATACATGTAACAAAGGAAACTCGCTCAAAATCTTAATTATACCTATTGAGGTTTGATTTTCCAATGAAACATTCAAAAACAAGAAGACATTTTTTTATTTTTTATAGCAAAAATGAACGAAACAATAGGTTTACACTACTTCGATTGGACTCAAAAAACAGTTTTTAGCCGAAATCGCCCCTCCCTTCCAAAATTCTAGATCTGCCACTGGATTTAACTGATATTATATAGAACAAGATGAACACAGTCAGATGATGACAACTAAGATTTTTTACTATCACACTATTAAGTAACAGAAAAACACAATAATAGCTATTTACTGTTATCAATATCTTTAGAATATTCTTTTTTTAGTTTCTTTTTTGGATTAAATTTTATATACAAATATCTTAGTATTTCTTTCGTGGAATTTCATATCGTTTATTAAAGTTGACAATTCAATCTCAGTTTTACCCGTAGATTAAAAATAATTGAATTTAATGTTACTGACTAATAATTAAAAACCAGATTTTATGAATTTAAGCAAAAAAATTTTTTTAATACAATAATATTCATTAATTTAAAAAAATGAAATAGCATGAAAATATTTTTTGAAAATATGTGAATGGATTCATACTCTTTTTCATGCTATGGTGAAATAACATTGTATGTAACCTTACATTCTATCCTTTTATTCAACACGCGGTGATGTATATATAAAGAAAAGAAAGAAAGAAAGAAAAAAAATATTTGCTATACGTCACTATTGTGACGGGTTGTTTTTTTTTCATCGTTTCTTTTATTAGAGGCAATTGTGAAGATATAAATATAATATATTTCAATTCATTTCAAATCTTTATATTAAACTAAAAATTCGAATTATGTCGACAAATAATAATGAAGAGTTATTAGCTGTAGCACTTTCAACAATATTAGGGAAAGAAATTCTATCTGAATCAAATGTACCACAACAATCACAACAACATATAAGCAAAGTTTCATTATTTGATCAACATTTAACATCATTAGTCTATGGAAAAGTTGGAATAGATGATAACACTAATGATAATTTATTTATAACATTACATATTACAATTTTATCAAATCAAAAAACGTTTCAATGTCAAATTGAACGTAGTGCAAGTGTTACTAAACTAAAACAAATTGTCTATGAAAATGAAGGCATAACATGTGATAAACAAAATTTAATTTATTGTGGACAAGAAATTGATGAAGGTCATTTATTAAGTGAATATGATATTCAAGATTCCGGTGAAATATATGTTGTACGTTTAAGAGCGATGAATTCAAATGATATTTTAGTATTAGATGACAATTCACGGGATAAACATTATGATTATGATTTTACTAATGTTGATGATAAAGGAAAACGTTTTACTCGTGGTGGTACTGAATATCGTCGACCATGTGGATCGATACGTTTTGCAATAAAAGTTGCTGGAAAATTTGAAAATGAAAAATGGCTTGGATCAAATGATGGACCTGATGAATGGCCAGTGTCATATCATGGAACAAGACATGATGCAGCAAAATCTATTGCACAAACTGGTTTTGATCTAACAAAACACAAACGTTTTCTTTTTGGACGCGGTGTTTATTCAACGCCTGATATTAATACAGCAAAAATGTATGCTCCTACTTTTACTTTTAATGGAGAACAATATTGTATAGTGTTTCAGAATCGAGTCAATCCAAAGACTTTAATAAAAATTGATGGTAGTAAAACTAAACACGGAGATTATTGGATATCACCTAGTGCTGATGATATTAGACCATACGGATATTGTATAATGAAGAAAAAATAAACTTTTATAAGATATTTCATATTTTTATGTTTCTTTTTCTTTTTATCTTTTCAGTTTGATATATGTAATGATTTATGAAACGGAAATAAAATGTTTTACCTTGTAGATTTTTGATAGTAGTATAAAATATTGTTTCTATTCTAGTATTTTATGAATTGCTGTATACAATATATCTAAGTATCTCTATTGTATGAATAATAACTTTTATAATAATACAAACAACTGATATATTAAAAATTTCGTAGGAATTAAATTTCAAAATTTTTCAAATAAACTTTTAGATAAGTTTTGCCGATTCTACAAGCAACTTGAATCAACTAATATTTTATCTTTTCTATTATTTACTTGAGATCAAGATCCAACATAATATCAATAAGATGACTTTTTTTATTTCAAACAGCTGCTTATGTACATTTATAGTTTATTATCCCACATAACAAATATCTTTTGCTTGTATTTATATTCTTAATTTTGATAAATATTTACGTATGCAATGTGAAATCTTGCATATAAAATATCCGAATTGGGCACATGAATGGTTGAATGTTAAAAGAACATTCGAAGACTTCTATTTCGTTGCACCTGGTCGTAAGTTAATAAACTAATCTTTCATCGAAATAAAGACTAATCTTTTCAAACGTATCAAGAATATGTTAGAAAATTTACATCTTCCATTTCATGGAAATTTACATTCAGGTTTGGATGATGCAAAAAATATTGGAAAAATAATCATGCAATTAATCAAAGTAAACTATACTTCTTCAATAAACAAATTGCTTCGATTATTATTGTTTTTCTGTTTTCGGGTGGTTGTGTATTGATGCCTAATGAGTTTTATGTTTCACAATCACCAATTACATTGAGACGTCCTAGACAATCATCAGTTGTTCGGTATAATCCTACAAATATAAGATGTCATTTTAAAGATCAATCTTCTTGTACGAGACATGCGGCAAAACGAAAACAAAGATCTGAATCTCATCATTCTCGTTCTGGCCCAGATCAACCATTATTAGATCTTCCATTTCAACGTACAACCAGTAAAAGTTTTAAACATTAGTTTTCATTTTTGTTTTACATATCTATGTCATGCACAAAATGATTAACAAATAAATTGATTGAAAGTATGAAAAAGAATGTAATACTTACATACACATTCACTTATAGTGTCACGGTGAACAAATACTCGCGTCAATTTAACCTCCATTTTGTGAAAGAAAAAGTAAATGGCTGATAAATAAAAGAGTTTGGTTTGTTTTTCAATTGAAATGGGTAGTGGAAGTTCTGTATTCTGTGACATATCTTGAGGATGTGAGTAAAAGAATATTCTATTCATTACAGACCCACACCCATGCTGAAAATTACATATAGTGTGATAAAAATGAGAAAAAGCTATCTTCAATGATGTTATTTTTACACCATGTGTATTTTTTTAAAATACATCTTGATTAAATGGAATAAAACAAAGCTATAAACGATGTTTTAATTTGTATATGAGGAACTCAAGTGTCAACGATAACATATTTCATTATACAACATTATTCGACAATGAGAGTGTGAGTGTGTTTAGAATGCACAGAATACCCACACCTTTACCCTCTTTAAATTCTTTAATATATATATTAATGTATTTTTATAGTTCGAGAAAGTCGAATTCATCAATATATCATAAGACTTTATGATTAACAATAACAAATTAATCTGATGAATGGCGCGCTTTTCTTTTGTTTCATAAATTCCAATGTATCTCTTAATTAAACAATCTTATCAGAGATATAAAATAAAATTCTCACGTCTGTTCTACAAAACAACTTATTAATTGAAATTGGTAAGTTATATGAATTATTTTTGGAGTAAACTAATGAGCCATACAATAGAGTACTAAATTAAAAATCTCCTAAACCTTTTGATTTAATAGTCTTGTTGAGAAATCAATCTAGAAATAATACAGATGAAAAGTGAATTGTTGAGCGAGAGGAAAAAAAGAAACACGAACTATAGAAGCTCTTTAATACATTTTCACGGACATTTGAGATGAGAAATGAACGTTTGTGCTTACGAATACAAAAATAGAAAATAGTTCTCATGTTCTTACAATCATCTATAAAAAGTAATGTATTTTCTTCTATATATTTGGTTTTTATCACATTTATGATCACACTATAACACTTAACGTAGTATAAATTTCGATATTGTATTCGTCCGTCTGAAAATGTTGAAAGACAAAAGGCAAGAATATTAAAAGAAAAAATAAATCCTCAACAATTACTTTCATGATCTGCAACAATTGATTTGGTCGAACTTCGACTAGGCATGCACCAGTCGTATAAAGTCGATAAAAAAAATGAACAATTTTTCCTATATAAAACACCCAGTCTTCTAAGTCATTTAAACTCACTATCGATCAGACTATACAACGCTATTGTTAAACTTTGAAAAATAAGACGTGAAGAAAAAAGGACAGGGGGTGACGATTAAAAAAAACACAAATTTCCGATTTCTTACCGCTCACCCCCAGTCCTTTTTTCGTCACGTCTTATTCTTCAAAGTTTAACAATAGCATTGTATAGTCTGATCGATAGTGAGTTTAAATGACTTAAAAGACTGGGTGTTTTATATAGGAAAAATTGTTCATTTTTTTATCGACTTTATACGACTGGTGCATACCTAGGTCGAACGTTATCAATACTATTTAGAAAAACCGAATTTATTATTAATAGCGGACTCGTTTCACAATTGCTTGACATCGCATGGTTTGGCATCTCTTGTCAATATACCTTTGATTTGGATACAACGTTCAATAATATTATCGTTAGATAATCTGGAAAACATTTATTCAAAAAAATTCATTAATTTTTGGATATACCTTTATTTATCCTGATTTATTGCATTATTTTTATTAATCAACTTGTGGTTATAGTTACTTCTATCTGTCATCTTTATTCATTCACTTTGGTAATCAAATATTACCTGATTTTGATTCACGTGTTTTTAGACAAATACGCAAGTGACATGTATAAGAAAACTTTTTTTTTAATATATTTTATTTATGTTCACCTGATTCTGACTGGCAACGGTAAGTGATATTACTGAAGAAACTATCAAATTTCTTTATTTAGGTTCAAGTGGCTTAAAACAAATGGTAATTGATATTTTCAATAAGCAAAAAAAATTTATTCATTGTATTTAGGCTTAGCTGATTCTTATAAACATGGTATGTTGTACATAAGAAAGAAAATGATATTGTATTTTTTTTATTTAGGTTGACATCACTTCAATAAAATCGATGAGTGATATATAATAAGGAAAAGTGTATTATATTTATTATACTTTTAGGGTCATTCGATTTCAATACAATTGTTGAATAATATGTGAGAAAAAGAAAATTCTATTTATTTAAATAGATTTAAGTGATTAAAAAAAAGTCGTAAGGATATTTTATTCTATGTAGGTTGACATACTGTTGATAAATTGATAAGTTCTATATATACGAATCAAAATCTATAATATTTCTTATATTTAGGTAAAAATGATTTGAATGAATTTTGTAAGTGGCAGTCGAGGAAAAAGCTAACTTTTGTTTGATTTCGTGGAGAAACCCTGCATAATTCATAGATAATTACTTGTTAGAAGTTCTCTCGCATCTGGAAATGCTTGAGCGTAACTAGTAGAAGGTTTCAGAAAATAAGAATTTTGGTAGGTGATTTTATGTGAAACTACCTTCACGAAACCTTTTCCCAATATTCTTTCGAAGGGTATCATACGAACAGGAGTGTGCCGATTGGGGGCTGTAGGGGATGTTTTTGTCTGCATAATTTTTGAATAAATATGTCAACTTCACCCTTTTTGTGTCAAAAATTCGAATATTACGGAGTCAAATTTGTAGTTCGATACTCCTACTCGGGACATCCCTGCGTACGAAACCTTTTCTAACATTTATTGAAAAGAAGTTTGGTACGAAACTTTCTTTTTTTACAGTGTAATCGACCCTAATCACTCGTAATCATATGTAATTAAATAATTAGCTATTTTCTCTTGGTCCATGTCCTGTATTCGCTCACATCTAGTTTTCGTTAGACTGAAGTATTTTTCATGGATATCTAGCATAGTCTGTGCGCAGTGAACCAAGCAAGTTCAAAAAAACTAGTCGAATAAAAATTGTGGTATTCGTTTTAGATTTAGTGAAGTGCCGAAGACATTACTATAATATCCATTTACAACTGATTTCAGACTCAGTTTTCTTGTGAAAAGTCTACACCAAGCCAACGTGATTAAAAACATTTTATAAACAGTCATATTCGTGCTGTAGAAGTAATCTCTAGTCACACATAGACTTCGTCGACGATATCAAGATCTATAAATCAAGTAGCAGTACATTCATGAATACCAGTATATCAATACAGTCCAACATGGAACCAGGATTAAGCTCGGTCACACAATCCTTTCGTAAAATCCTCTCTAAAAATATTCGCAGACTGCGGTACTGTTTTATATTCATTGGAATTTCAGCGCTCATTCTTCTCGGCTATGACATCATTAATAGTAGTGGAATTTTGACAAAACGATTGGTTCATAGTAAGCTGTTGGATTCTCCTGTCAGAGAAGCGCAAACAACACCGATATTGCTCATTTCTACAGTCACCGTATCCGATGTCATTAAACAAACGTCAACAAATCCAAAATTATCAATTGTTACAGCGATGACAATCGATAGAGTCAATCAATCGATGTCACGAATTTCTGTAGCAAACAAACTTAATTATGCGAAAATACATGGTTATGGCTTTATTCTAGATGCAGCCATTGATAGGACGAGAAGTGGACACTGGTCAAAGATTATAACTCTTCATTCGGCCATGCATACTCGCCCAGATATTGAATGGTTTTGGTGGTTGGATTTAGATGCATTTATTTTGGAGAAACATATTGATATATATGAACAAGTTATAAAAAAATATCAATGGGGTTTAGACAAGAAGTATAATATTACAAAGGATATATTGGTAAGCGAAGATTGTAGTGGGCCAAACA